TCCCTCTCCTCTCTACTGATGTTGGAAGGTGGTGGTTTGGCATTGCTGAGGCAGGCTGAAACTTTGATTCTGAGCTGTTCTGCTTCAGCCTCTTTAATTTTGTTGTTGCGGATGGCTGACTCAGTAGCTGTGATCATCTCCACCAGAGGAATTCTACTTGGTGCAACCGCAAAGTTCAGTCCCCTGGCAAGAATCTCTGTCTCTGGCTGGGTGAGCTGTCTGTCAGATAAATTCTTCACCCACTTTTCTGTCTCTCTGGCATGTAATTGACTACTGGAGTGTTGTCCTACACTGAATGTGTTGTTATTGGAATAGTGATGGTGTTGATGAGTTATTAGTAAGTTAAACTTGTTTTGTTGTCGAGTCTTGGACTTGACATGCTGTGCTAAACGTGCCTGATCTGTACAGTCCAACACTTGCTGAAGTGTGGTCTGATCTAGACACATAGTTAGTTTCTGTTTAATGTGCTCTTCTTTGGCCTTCAAGGCCTCAATAGTAAATTGAGCATGTGATCAGCTGGTTTTGGTTGTCAGCAGCAAAACTGGTTGATCCACTCTGAGAAGGTGCTATTTAAGAGACTTAGCTGAAAACAGCACCTCAGACTGAAGAAGTCTCTCGGACGAGAGACGAAACGTTTCTACATTTTTTGTTGTTTTGCTTTGTTTTGGTTTTTTTTTTTAATGTCCAGAGGACCAGATTTAACTTTTTTAGATTTTTCTACCTGGATTATTGAGCATGCATCAGAATGTTCTTAAACCTACGTAATTTTAGCAACATACATATATGTACTGTACAGTACTGCAACATTTGACTCACCAGCTCTGCAGAACAGCAGCTCGGTTCTGCTCCTGCAGACCTACCTTGCAGCGACGAAGCCCACCGCCCTGTCCAGGTTGATGTGCACATGGATAACTGAGATTCAAGAAGCTTCAGGATTATTTGTGACTTTTCTGCTAGTTCTGTGAGCTTAATAGATAGATAGTTACTTCTGAATTTGCGTTGCAAAACTTTTCCTCCATTTTGGCAGAAAGCAGTAACTGGAAACACTGTTGGCTTCTGGGTAATATAGTTCTTTTGACTGGCGTTGCAGTGTAGGCTTACTGAAAGAAAATTACAAATTGGCGGTGCCTATTCGAAGTATTTTTTTTCGTTAACTTTTTATCTTGTACCACCCCAATCACTTGAGTAATATTAAAGTTGACAATTTTGTGTCATGTACAATCTTGTGTTGAAAAACCTCGAAAGAGTGAGTCCGCAAAAGTCGAACCACGAAGTAGCGAGGGACTACTGTATTCAAGTTCTACTGAGAATCATAGAAGCATAGGGGTTTAAGAAACTGGAAACAATACTTCTCCAACTAAAGCAACATAAATTTTTCCAATTGTCTAATCTTAGTTAGACTCTAATATTTACTATTTTTTACAATTATATTTGAGTTACTTTAACATGAGTTACATTATTTTTGCTGTAAACTGATTGTCATGTTTTGGGAAACAGCCACGCCGTCAGTTTCAATCATGCCCTGGATGTCTGTAAGCTGACTGGCGCCGTGCTGTTTTGTGTGGGTGGAACCTACATGGCCATTGGTCTCCTGCTTTCTGCTTTTGCCAAAAACTACTCCAAGAAGGAGCAATATCTCCAGCAGAGGTTTAAGGAGCGGCTGGCAGCAACCGTTGGTAAGGAAGCACTTGACACCAAATGAGAAAGTGCAAAACAAGTTGTAGGTTTATAGACGCCAAACTAACAGTGATATTCTATGTGACAGGTACACCAGTAATGAGAGCACCGACCCCCGGGGAGGGCAAAGTTCCAGTCACACTTTCCAAAGTGCAGAACATTCAGCCAGTGAGCACAAAGTCAGGGACTTGATTGAGATGCGCATGAAGGCATCAAGCAACATCCAGCTAAGGATCCAGAGCGTGCAGATTGTGTCAGAGTGTTCATTGATCCATGTGAGCAGTTTCTCTGTTTGAAAGGTCCTCTTACATCACTGCTTGTAGTGGTTTATTCCCACATTTAAATTTATCCAAATCTGTTCTTAATACTTGAGTAAAAAAATCATTTCACAGAGCACTTTTGAGAAAATAAAGCCCACAAAGAAAGCTAGAAAACCAGAGCTATTCAACAACATGACTCTTCTCCGAAGTTTTTTGTTTATTTATTTCACAAGGAATACTCAGATTTTGAGAAGAGCAAATGTGTTGAAGGGTATGTTGCTGAGGAGGCAGTGCTGCTTGATACTTTTCATGATTTGCCTTAGTTCTCAGACGATCAAACGCTGCACTGAGTACAACAGTTACTTTATTTGCTCATAGGTTGTGTTCAAAACTTATTTTCTGTGAATGTGCTTGTGCTGCATTTTCAGCTCAGCAGTTCATTCAAAGTGGTAAGGAAACCAATAACTATAAACTGTATGCACAGTTGTACTGTAACATTTTAGGCAACAAATGCTTTTTTTACACTTGACAAGTGATACAAAAATGTATTGTGATTCATTACAAGACAATGATACAGTACAAGACAATACAGTGCAATACAATGCAATATACTATGATGTGGTACCATACAGTATGATACAATAGTATACAATGCAGTACAATGTACTTGTTGTCTCCTTAGTTAAATTTATTTTGGCTCTGGAGAGTTGACGTTTTAACCTTTGCAGGAGTTTATAATTGTCAGCTCCAATTGGACACAAATGTGGGTCAGAACAGAATTAAAGTTGGCGCTGACATTTTCGTCTCATTAGGCCTCTGGCCTTGTTTCATTCCCTTTAGGAAGGATCAATAGAAGAGATCAAACTCAGAAAAAGCTGATCTAAATACAAAACAGAACATGCAAAACTGCATAGTCTGACAAATTACTTTCAGCATATCACAAAAACAGCCTTCTCCATCCCATCTGCTGGAATATTATTAGCTTTTGCTACATCTAATCTATTTCTTTTGGCTCTTTTTTCTCTCTCTAAGTGTCAAATACATGCATCTGTCCATGAAAGCATGCATATATTTATCACGGTTCTGAATCCAAATTCCACTTGTCCCAATTTGTTCTGGCTTGTGACAGCTCAGATAGACGAGAGGTGGGAAAGGATGTGACAGAGATGTTATGTAACGGGCAGATGATGAGAACACACTCAGCTCTCCGATGAGCAGCAGCATCGTATCTGACAGCACCGACAGATCTGATCTGTGGTGATTCAGACATGAGTAATGACTTCCTTCATGCTCCCACACACAAAACACAGAACATTAGATATAACACAACTACTAAATTACTTTAGAAACTTTATGACAGTGAAGCACTTTTTAAGTTTAGGAGGTTCTTATGTTTGCATAGTGTCCCATTGTTAAACTGTTGGATGAATTGTGTGCACATGGGATGTATGAACAGAATGGTACATTTGTTTTGTATTGGAACAATGTTCTAGCAGAAGTTGCTGTCAAGCTTCTAACTGTGGCTCATCATCAGATCAATGCAGGATGCTCACAGCATGAAAAGGCTGCTACAAATGCTCATGCAAGTTGACCTTTGACGATTATTTTTATATTATCTTGTCATTCTGCTTTTAATTTCAAGTATTTTGGATTTAGACGAAATGGAAAGCAAACCTACTGAAAAAAATCATGTACCATTTTGAGGAGGTTTGCTCCACCACTGAGCTGCAAAGAGAAACCAAGCTGCCCAACAAGCTGTTCTGGACAAATCTGCCTCTCCAGCACCAAGTGATGAGTGAATGTGTTGATTAATGTCATGCTGTTCCATGCTTCAGAAATACAACAGACTTTTTTTTTTTTTATCTTTCTCCTTCTCTTGGTTTCTTTAGATTATAATGTTATACCATGATCCAACTGTGGACTCTCCCACTCAGTGATACATTTTACCTACTTAGAAGTGAAATGACAAAAGCTTATTCAATGGTGTCAACTATAGTTTTCAAAGAACACAATAAAACAACTTACCCACTGCTCAGAAAGGTGTCTGTTTTTTAATACATATATTTTTCAAGTAATTCATGGGGAGTGGTGGCGCAGAGCCTAGAGAAGGTGAGCTTGTGCTCAGAAGGTTTGCTGGTTTAACTCCCTGAACCGACAACATCAAAATATGGGAGGGAAAGGTGATGTGCCCACACCTTCCTCCACCTTCATCCTCCTCACCCTGGGCCCATGAGCAAGGCCCCCATCCATCCATCAATCCATCCATACATCCATGCATTATCTTCTGCTTGTTTTGAAGTCAGGTCGCGGGGGGCAGCAGCTTGAGTAGGGAGGCCCACACATCTCTTTCCACAGCCACCTCTTCTTGCTCTTCTGGGGGGACCCCAAGGCATTCCCAGACCAACCGAGAGACATAGTCTCTCCAGCCTGTCCTGGGTCTTCCCCGGGGTCTCCTCCCAGTCAGACATGCCCAAAGCACCTTTCTAGGGAGGTATCCAGGGGGCATCCTTACCAGATGCTGAACCACTTCAGCTGACTCCTCTCGATGTGGATGAGCAGTGTTTCAACTCTAAGTATTTCCTGGATAACTCAATTTCTTACCCTGTCTCTAATGGAGAGTCCAGCTACTCTGCAGAGGAAACTCATTTCAACCGTCTGTATCTGCAATATAATTATTTTGGTCACTACCCAGAGCTCATGACAATAGGTGAAGGTAGGAACTTAGACTGACCGGTAAACAGAGAGCTTTGCCTTACAGCTCAGCTCTTTCGTCACCACACCGGACCTGGTACAGAGTCCACAATACTGCAGACATTGCACCAATCCTTCTTCCAATCTCACGCTCCATTCTTCCTTCACTCGGGAACAAAACCCCAAGATACTTGAACTCCTCCACTTGAGGCAGAACTTCACTCGACCTGAAGAGAGCAATCCACCCTTTTCCAGTTGAGGGCCATGACCTCAGATATAGATGTGCTGAATCTCATCCCAGCCACTTCACACTTGGCTGTGAACCACTCCAGTGAGATTGAAGATCACGGCATGTTGATGCCAACAGGACCACATCATCTGCAAAGAGCAGAGATGGAATCCTGAGCCCGCTGAACCGGAATCTCCCCACCCCCTGGCTGCACCAAGAAATTATGTCCATAAAAGTTATGAACAACTGGCAACCCTGGCGGAGTCCAACTCCCACCCTCAAGGGGTCCGACTTGCTACTGGCAAAATGAACCAAACTCTCACACCACTTGCAAAGGGACTGAATAGCCCATAACAACAGCTCCCCCAATCCCAAACTCACAGTGTACCTAGAGGAACATGGTCAAATGCCTTTTCCAAGTCCACAAAACCCATGTAGACTAGATGGGCAAACTCCCATGACCCCTCGAGGACCCTAGTGAGGGTAAAGAGCTGGTCCAGTGTTCCACGGTCAGGACAGAACCCGCATTGTTCCTCCTGGATCTGAGGTTGGCCCCCAACTCTCATCAAGTTAAATGCAAAAATCAAATCAGACATGCTCCTGTTTCTAATATTTTACATTGTTTTATAATGCAGCATGTTTTTATTTTATTTCATTTTATATAATTTATTTTATTTACTATTCATTTATATGTTTTTATATGACTGCTTATTATAGCATGTACCTCATCTGTGGTTTTTGTTAAAAACGGGTCTCTCTTGTAAATGAGTCCTCATGACTCAGTGAGACTAACCTGTTTAAATAAACATTGAATGAATGAATCTGCACCCCCAGGTGCCCCAGATGGCAGCTCTCTGCTCCACACAGAAGACTGTGGCATGGTTCGTGTTTGCCTCAGCAAGGGCATCCGGCGTAAATACAAGTCTTCATGCCAGTTAGTTCACTGTGGTGACCCCTGAATAAAGGAGCAGCCGAAAGAAAAAAGAAAAAACATATACTTTAAACTGATATTTATTAGTTATTTTTTATTAAACAGATTTACGCAATATATGTTTTTACCATTCATTGGTTTTATCTACAGAATGTATCATCATTTGACTTCAAAAATCGTTAGGGCATGTTACAGAAAAGCTTTCAGGTTGAGTATAATTTGGGTCATTTCAATATTATGATCTAATAATTGTAGCGTCTTTCAGTTAATTTATTGTAATGCAACAAAATGGACTGAAAAAGATATTGAAATTTGTCAATGTAGTATAAATTTGCAAAATGTCACTATTGCAATAAACTGTGTAAATCATAGATAACATACCAGTATAATCATGCACTGTACACCACATGATATAATGGATCCCCCGGCTGTTCTATATGCACACATTTTGTCATTGTCTTGGAATTTTTGTGTTTGATTCATTTGCACTCGTTATGTAGAAGTTCACCTGTTTACCTTGTCTCTAGTTAACTCACATTGTTTCCTCAGTGTCATTCACACCAGCTTCTCATCTGATCGACTCAGCTGTTTTCACTCAGTAATCACCCAGCCCTTCCAGGGTTTTAAAGAATCATCTGATTCTCGCATTAGCTGTCAGATTCTGGTTGCTGCCAGCTTCTTAGATTTGGCAGATGTGGTATTTGATGTGTTTGTTGTAAACTTGTCAGCCCTTTTGTTTTATTAATGTTTGAGCTTTGACTTTGCTCACCTGATCTGCACTTTGGGTCCACTAGAAGCCCAACATCACGACACACCAAGTTTAAAATGATTGCGGTGAAAAAGCTAAACTGAAAGCTTTGGTGACAGAACAGAAAGAGAGATATGAGAAAGATGTATTTAATTAGAATTTCAATTATCATTATACAATGCCAGTAGTGTGTTTCTTTGGCAAATCTCTGCCATTTTGTTTTGAACTGTGACAACTGGCACTTAAAACACCAGCATAAGCAAAGTTCAAAAACGTCTTTGCAAAGTATATATACACATATATATATATATATATATGCATATAATCACACACATTATTTCAGTGTTTTTTTTATTAAACTGAATTAAAAAACACAATTCCTATTTCAGTAGCAGCACTTGAGTAAAGATTGAGCCCTATACGTTTTAGTGGTGTTAGCTCAGTTTTATTGCATTTTGCTGAATTATAATCAATCAAGCAGAGTGCCATTTGAGGTTTTATTGACACACACGTGCACACACCAACACACACACACACACACACACACACACCAACACACACACACACACTCTTAGCAGCCTGTGGAAGAGATAAGACAGAATTGATGGGGGGCTCCAGAAATAGCATCTCGAGCATCATCACCTCAACCAGTCGGGCCTTATGACTCACCCCCTCCCCCTCCATCCCACCTCCTCTGCTGTTCTGCATCTCTCTCTTCTCTTTCCCATTTCCCCTCGCTCCTTTTCACTCTTGTTCTCCTTGTCTCGTCAGACGGTGACTCACCGTCATGTTGACTGCCTGAATCCTAATGTGAAGAGCTGCAGGAAAAGGAGAGCAGTGAGGACAACAGGCAACCAATCAGATCAGTGTCCAGACTTGAGCATGATGCGTCACGTCATTTAATATACAAATGTAATCAATGGAAAGCTTTATTTTAGCATCTTCACACACTCTCAGGAATGAAAATGTTCTTTCCTCTATGACTGACTTGTGTTCTTGTCAGTCACTTGGTCTGTGAGCCTCACTTTGGGTTTTTTTCAAGGAGTGTCTTAATCTAAAAACTTACATTTTTCACCAATAAGTACCTAATTTTCTGAAAATGTTCAACTTTAAAGTAAGTCAAAATCTCTTAAGTAAACTAGAATTGTTCATTTTCCACTGTCCTTTACACCATTCAGGGTCACCCATACTGCTTCAAACTGTTGGAGGAGAAAACCCCACACATCTATGGGGAGAACATGCAATGTTTTGATTCAAAAGTTCTGAAAAAGATTCAAACTCAAAGGCATCAAATATGGGGTTTGCCACAAACCACAAGAATGTAAACAAATAAATAATAAAATATGAAAACAGTGACATTACAGACCTGTCTATGCTATGGGGCCGTCACAGCGAGACACAAGAAAAAACAATTCCTGCAACACACTTGATCCATTTATAAGTTTAATTTCTCATAATAAATAAATACATATAAACAAAAATAAATATTTTATATTCTGACTTCACATTAACAGCTTACAATATGTTGTATCATAGTTTTTTTTTTGTTTTTTTTTTCGGTGTGTTATTTGGCTAAGCATTCAGACACAGAACATCAGACATGGCCCAGTGTTTTATGCACAATAACAACATTCAACCTGAGTATCATTGTGGGCCGCCATAGCTCAGAGGTCAGCGCCGCATTTGTGCTACCTTGAGGCTGCAGGTTTGAGCCCAGGCTGCATCAGGAACAACATCTGGTGTGAAACTATTACCAAATATTTGAGTTCACCACTGTGGGACCTCTGAAGGCGGGAGCAGCCGAAAGAACATCAACTTGAGTTACACTTTGAACTCAATCTTATTGTACAAAATCTCCTCTAGAGGTTCTAGCAGAAAATTCACTGAGTACATTGAAACAAGAGAGCAGCACCAATAGTAAAATTTTCTTATATAAAATGAGAATTTATACCTGAAGCCTTTGTGTCTTTAATCTGTATCAAACAACTGAGTCACTAAAAAAATTCAGCTTTATGGTTTTGTTTTTAATGCCACATCTGTGAGATGTTCCAGCAATGATACCCTCATTTTCTCTAAGACATCATCCTGCTGGTCATTCTTTTTCATTTGTGTTGCTCATGTAAAAAATAGATAAATAAATAGATCTCTGTTTACTACTCCTTTCTTTCTGATTATGTCATCTTCATTAGCATCCCTTGCCTGTCTGTTAGCTGTGACATCACCTCAGCTGTCAGAGTTCTTGTTCTCCAGCTCGGCTCCACTGCCCAACTCCTCACTGTCTCCCTTTACTTCTCCACTCTCTTTGCTCTCTTCTTCTTCTTCTTTCTCTGGCTCTTTGGTAGCTTCCTCGTCTGTTTTTACCCCATCTTCTTTCTCTGGCTCTTTGGTAGCCTCCTCGTCTGTTTTTACCTCTTCTTCTTTCTCTGGCTCTTTGGTAGCCTCCTCGTCTGTTTTTACCTC